CACACAGTGGCACACTTCCTCCAACAAGGCCGCACCTACTCCAGCAAAGCCACATCTCCTAGTGTCTCTCCCTACTAGGTATAAAGGCCAATTACATTCAAAGTATGACAAACAGCCTTCTATTGCTCAGCATAAACAGCTAAAATTTGCAATTCTTACAATTCTCTTTCTGTGGTTCAATTGTAGTTTAAAGCTGTCACCTAATGGTAAATACACCAAGAAGTGTCACTCAATGAAACAATATTGGGGGGTGTCTTAGTTAGGGTTTTTATTGCTATAAAAAGACACCATGACCACAGCAGCTCTTACAAAGAAAATAATTGATCAGGGTGGCTCATTTACAGCTATAGATGTTCAGTCCATTATCATCATGACAGAGAACATGGTGGCATGTAGGCAGACATGATGCTGGAGTAGTAGATTAGAGTCCTACATCTTGCAAGCAACAGGAAATTGTCTCACTGAGTGACACTAAAGCAAAAGAGGCCTCAAAACCCTCTACCACAGAGACACATTCCCTCCAACAAGACCACACCTCCTGATAGTGCTACTCTCTACAAGATTATTGGGGCCAATTACATTCAAACTACCACACGTGGTGTGGCTTTTTAAGAGGGTAAGCCTGAAGGAAATAATCAGTTCATGAAGCACAACCTCCTGCAAGGGACTAAAGTAACTCTTGTGAATCAAATGACTTCTCGGGAAAGCAGCTTAGTATTAATCAAATGGTACTTCTGTGAGCAATTATGTCCTTTTCTGTTTCTTTTCCATGTTCTGTTTCTTTACCATGATATCATGTTGCAATATGCCTGGTGCTGTGCTGTTAGACTTGCTAAACAACTTCCTTTCTAAAAATAAAGTACCAAGTTCACGTACATTGTTATAGCAATATACAAACAAAGAGCCAGCTCTCTGGAGAATATAATGGAATGTGACCCCTTCCTATGTCCATAGGTTCCACTGTCATCACAGCTTGAATAGAAGATCCAGAATTAATCATTATTATACCCTTAATGCCTAATTCAGTGGCCACAAGCCATCAGATAGATGTTGATGTGACTGGAGCATAGTCACAATCAGCCACTTCCTGCAGCCAGTTTTGACTCAAAATAACTTTAGCCAGCCTGTCCTCTGTTATGAGTCAGAGGTCACTCAGACATTCACCATGAACATTAATACATTTTAATAAGAAGAGGCTTTTTATTAAATACTGGTACTTGGACCGATTGGGGTCTGTACTTGAGAGTGCTCCCAAGATACAGCACCTAACCATATCAGCCTGGGCATATAATGGCAAAGCCCACAAGATTACATGTGTAGGCAGGGTCTCATTTTAACATATATGCCTTATGAGATTTTTGTTGTTGTTGTTGTTTACTCATGTTTTGAACAAAGTAAGCAAGTTTGATTACCAAAGAAGAAACAGCTGTTAATCTCTCTCTCTCTCTCTTTCTCTCTCTGTATTAGTGGGGGAGACAGTAAGTCTGAAGTGCCCTCATGAAAAGCATAAAATTAGGGGATGTACCTTGTTATGCAAGCTCCTGTAATCTAAGGAACTTTTTTTTTCTTACTTTACATATCGATCCCAGTTCTTTCTCCGCCTCCCTCCCTCTCTTCCACCCTCCCATCCCATCCCCCCAACTCCACATGTAGGGTGATGCCTTCCAGGAGGGGTCATCTAAATCTGTCAAGTCATTTGGACTAGGTACTAGGCCCTCCCTCCTGCCTCTAGGTTAAGGGAATATCCCTCCATGGGGAAGGTGGTCCTAAAGTCCTTTCATGCACCCGGAATACATCCTGGTTCCACTGTCCAAGGTCTCTTAGACTGCCCATGCCTTCTAACTGAGACCCATGTTCAGGGGGGTCTGAGTCAGACCAATGCTGGATTCCCAGCTATCAGTCTGGGGGCCCATTAGCTCCTCCTTGTTTGGGTCAGCTGTCTCTGTGGGTTTCTGTAATCTGGTCTTGTCCTCCTTCTCTGCAGCTGGATTCCAGTTTGGTTCAGTGTTTAGCTGTGGGTGTCTGCTTCTGTTTCCACAGCTACTAGATGAGGGCTCCATGATGATCTCATGAGGGAAGGGCATTTAAGGTAGCCTTTCCACTGTTGCTCAAATTGTTAGTTGGGGTCAGTCTTGTAGGTCTCTGGACATTTCTCTAGAGTCAGTTTTCTCTTCAAACCTGTAATGGCTCCCTCTTTTATTCTCTCTTCTCTCTCTCTCTCTCTCTCTCTCTCTCTCTCTCTCTCTCTCTCTCTCTCTCTCATCTATTCCTCCCCTGACTCAATCTTCCTAGTCCCACATGCTTTCCTCTCCTCCCATTCTCTTTCTCCTAGCCCCCTTTCCACTCACTGCTCCCTCACTCCCAATATGCTCAGGAGATCTTGTTCCTTTCCCCTTCTGTGAGGGACTTTATATGAATCTCTTAGAATACTCCTTGTATCCTAGTTTCTCTAGCTGTGTGAATTACAGGTTGGTGATCCTTTGCTCTAGGTCTAAAATCCATATATGGGTGAGTACATACCATATTCCTCTTTCTGTGACTGGGTTACCTCATTCAGGATGGTTTCTTCAACTTCCATCCATTTGCCTGCAAATTTCAAGATTCCATTGTTGTTTTCCACAGAGTAGTGTTCCATTGTGTAAATGTGCCACATCTTCTTTATCCATTCTTCAGTTGAGGGGCAACTAGGTTGCTTCCAGGTTCTTGCTATTACAAATAATGCTGCTATGAGTATAGTTGAACACATGTCTTTGTTGCATGAATGTGGATCATTTGGGTATATGCCTAAGAGGGGGATTGCCAGGTCCTGTGGTACACTGATTCTCATTTTCCTAAGGAATTGTCATACTGATCTCCAAAATGGCTGTACAAGTTTGCACTCCCACCAGCAGTGGAGGAGTGTTCCCTTTCTCCACATCCTCTCCAATATAAGTTGTCATTGGTGTTTCTAATTTTAGTCATTCTGGCAGGAGTAAGATGGTATCTCAGAGTTGTTTTGGTTTGCATTTCTCTGATAGCTAAGGATGTTGAGCACTTTCTTTAGTGTCTTTCAGCCTTTTTGATTTCCTCTATAAAGAATTCTTTTCCATTCTGTACCCCATTTTTAATAGGGTTATTTGGTGTTTTGTTGACTAGTTTCTTGAGTTCTTTGTATATTTTGGAGATCAGCCCTCTATCAGATGCAGGATTGTGAAGATCTTTGCCCAGTCTGTGGCCTGCCATTTGGTCTTGTCAACTGTGTCCTTTGCCTTACAGAAGCTTCTCATTTTGAGGAGGTCCCATTTATTAATTGTTGATCTCAGTGTCTGTGCTAATGGAGTTATGTTCAGGTACAGCTGTTAATATTATGACCTACTCTCTTGCAAGAACATCAGATTTTACAAGATCAGTCAATTTCCTCGACATCGGGGGAAAAGGGAAGTGGGTCGCTAGCATACAGGTGTACAAGCTAGGGGCCTGTGTGCTAGAGGCATTTCTGATTTTTGAACTCTAAATCACAGTAAGTTTAAACTTTAAATGGAATGTTAACCGTCACATTCTCCTCTTAACCTCCAAATTCAAACGTGCACTGAGGCACTAAAATGAAAGACTGTAGTCTCTCATAATACCCCGTGATCCTGTTACCAACTTATCTTACAGTTTCTATTGCTGTGATGAAACACTATGACCAAAAAGCAAGCTGGGGAAGAAAGGGTTTATTTGGCTTACACTTCGATATCACTGGTCACCATCAAAAGGACTGGAACTCAAGCAGGGCAGGAACCTGGAGGTAGAAGCTGATGCAGAGGTCATAAAGGGGTGCTACTTACTGGCTTGCTCCCCATGGCTTGCTCAACCTGCTTTCATATAGGACCCAGGACTTCTTTCATATAGAACCCAGGTCTCTTGTGACACCATCCACAAGAGACCAGGCCCTCCCCCATCAAACATGAATTTTTTAATAAAATACCCTATAGGTCTGCTTACAGCTCAATCTTCCGAAGGCATTTTCTTTTGTTTATTTTTCTTTTTTATTTAAATTATAAATAATCCTATCTTATATATCAATCCCACTTCCCTCTCCCTTCCATTCTCCCATGCCCCCCTCCAACTTCCATTCCTTCCCTCTTTTGCTCCATAGAAAAAGTAAGGCCTTCTGTGGGGAATAATCAAAGTCTGTCACATCATTTGGGGCAAGGCCTAGGCCTTCCCCTGTGTGTCTAGGCTGAGAGAGTATCCCTCTACGGGGAAATGTCTCCCAATGTCCATTCGTACCCTAGGTATAAATGCTATTCCATTATTAGTGGCCCCATAGACGGCCCAGGCCTCCTAACTAACATCTACATTCTACATTCAGGAGTTCTGGATGGGTCCTATGCTGGTTTCCCAGCTGTCAGACTGGGATCCATGAGCTCCCCCTTGTTCAGGTCAACTGTTTCTGTGGGTTTCCTCGGCATGGTCTTGACCCCTTTGCTTATCACTCCTTCCTCTCAGCAACTGGATTCCAGGAATTCGGCTTAATGCTTGGCTGTGGGTGTCTGCTTCTGTTTCCACCAGCTACTGGATGAAGGATCTATGATGGCATATAAGGGAGCCATCAATCTCATTATAGGGGAAGGGTGAAGGCATTTTCTTAATTGAGGGTCCTTCCTCTCGAATAACTATAGCTTGTGTCAAGTTGACATAAAACTATCCAGCACCCGTATCAAAAGAAACAACTCTAATGGGTCATGAAAGATCTAACCTGGTTAGTAAGTTGCTTCTGGAGCTCCTCTTACTTGCTAAGCCATAGGATACAATGCAGCTTTGTTAGGACAAAACCATTTCCACTTCCTTGCATTCTGGAATCTCTGAAGAGGGGGAGGAAATGTGAGTTTAGTTTCACTTTCCTGTTCTTGTAAATGTGGGAGATTCTGGGATGAAACTGTACCCACTCTCCTCTGTGATTGGCTCCACACTCTGGGGGGTGGGACAAAAGGCAAATGAATATATATGCAAGTGCTGCTCAACCTCCTTGTTTCTGCTGAAGAAGCAGAGGTTGAGTTCGGAGTGGAGCTCAGCAGCAGCCTAGAGCTATTCCTCTGGTCCCGAGTCGGGAGAACATCCACTGGACGCAGGATTGTCTGGTAATTTGGCATTCATAGCTGGCTTCTCACCCTCAAGTATCCTAGGGAGTCTGTGCATAACAAGACTTGTAGAGACAAATCCTCAGAGCTGGGACCCTCAGTTTGGAAGCTAGGGGGCTTTGATTGGAGGCAGGCAGGGGCTGACTTGCAGATGTTCTTAGGTTATCGAACAAGTTTTGATGGACCTGAAGTAAACGATCAAGTAATTGTTTAAAATTTACCTAGTTATGTGGGTTTGGGTTTTTGTTTGTTTTGAGCACCTCTACCCCCAGAATAGATGCAAGTGAACCTTTCAGGATATATGTTGTGAAATGTCACTATAAAATATATGAAAAATGTTGTACCTCAATCCTAGTATTCTTTATTTTTTCCTGCCTCAATTTCTACCTAGTTCAGCATATTTATTCTAAGCTCCAGTGGAAGCTAGACTAGGGAGAAAGATGCATCTATAAGATACTTCTGCTATTTCTGCTATAACCTGATAGAAAACAATGTTAGGATTTGGTTTTTTTAAGAAAATCTTTTTATTTACTATGTGACAATTTTATACATCTACATAACATCTTTATCATCTTCACCCATTATTCCTCTCTCTCTTCCCACACTTATTCTATCCAGGATCGTTCCTCTTCCCACAGTTGCCCGTTAGTTTTCTCGTCTTTTTTTTTTTTTTTTTTAATACCCTACTGTTTTTAATCAGGTTCACTTCATGTTCTGTCGTGGGGTTATTTACTTGTCATGAGCAATTTTCTAGTGACCACATCGCTAAAGAAAAATGACTCTCTCCCCCACCAGTCTCTAATCCTAGTATCTCCTCAGATAAGGATAAGATTTCATGTGTCCATGGTCTCGATGACACTGAAATATGGACAGATCTTGTGTAATCTCCTGCAGGTAACCTCTGTTCTCACGAGTTCACCAGTGCAAATGCCAAGTAGCATTCAGAAGATTACCCTGCCCCGTCCTCTGGCTCTTCCACAGTGTTTCCTGAAGCTGGTTCGGGTGGGGGGGGGTTGGTAACGATGTCCCTGTTATATTTAGGAATGAGAACTCAAGCATCGTTTATTCTCGTCTCTGACTAGTTATGAGACTGTGCATTAAAACACTACTTACTGCAAAAACAAGACAAATGGGAAAGAAGAAGCAAGTACAACAAAACCCTTGTCTGAGTGAGGTGGAGAGCACCACTAATCTCTGGTATAAAAAGAAATATTGAGAAGGAAATTTGTCAGCATGCCCATTTGTCAAAACAGCAGAAGTAGATGTTGTGGGGAATGATTTAAGAGAGTCCTCTTTAATTTCATGGTTTTTAATGTACAGTTTGCTTGCTTATGAAGAAATGCATCCTTTTGTAATGATGCTATGTTGTATCACTATCAGAAAAGCTGAAGTCTGCTCCCACCCTAACCCTGCCACAAGTAGGTTTATGTGAGGCCTACTGAGAGTAGAACCTGGATGTCTGTCCAGCTTGGAAGATGAGTAACAAAATTCAGAGGAGACCCTGGTATTTTAGTAGGAATTGCCTAGCCAGGAGGCCAGGAGCTGAGCAGCACCCTCACCACCCTGTAGGGTCACCACTTTTCTGAGCATGGGGAGCAGGCTTTAGGCTATGTGGCTGGTGTTGCTTGGTGCTCTGTTTGGTTGTTACCAGTGCTAGACTGAGGGCCTGGCCCTGTCAGTAGCCAGGCTTTCAAGAGCAAACAGAAATAGTTACCTTAAGAAAACATAAAACTTAGAAAATTTTACCAAAAAAATCCATACCAATTTAGGTATTAAAATATCTACTCCCATAGTATTACATAAAAAAATTTATTATCTGCTATCCATGAGTTGTTGTTATAGTTTTGTGTGTGTGTGTATGTGTGTGTGTGTGTGTGTGTGTGTGTGTGTGTGTGTGTGTGTGTAGAGCTTATCACACCTTTATCTTATGGTCTACTTTTGTAAATGTCCCCAAAAGCAAATCAATACCTTAAGAGAACCTTGCCAATATAAATAAGACTAGATTTCAGATTTGTATCAGTGTAGTGAACTTGATGCTACGGATTTTAATAACCTTTAACTATAGCTAACTCAATTATACACATATACATTTTTTTACACTATACTCATCCTCTTTCTTAGTAAAAAACTAAATAATTAAAACAATCATTTTCCTTCAACATTTCTAAAATCATAACAGCATACTTATAACCTATTAAACATTTTTCTCCTACTTCTTCGATCTTTTGTTACTTTTTTAATATTGTAAAACAAAATGATATAAATAAACAACTTTTAGGTAGAAAAGGTATTTAATGCCCTGATGAACTGGGAGAGCTATGAACTGATTGCTTTATCATAGGGTCATAAGCATAACCAGACCAGTTTGTCAGAACAGGCCCCAAAGCTGAGGCTATGTCTCCCCATTGCAGCAATAGAACCCTGAAAGGGACAGACAGCATAACACACAGATACCTTAAACTAAAGGATACATAGCTTGTAACCCAGGAAGACAAGCCAGAATAGGTGTGCGTTTTTAAATTCAAAGACATTGAAGATTTAACTCAGACCATTAATTGACCTTAAGAAAATTCAACAAAGCTGTGGGTGCCTTTCTGGGCAGGGGCTGTGCTCAGTTTCCAGTTTTAGTTATATTTGGGCCATCATTGTCTTTGAGCAGAAACTTTGTCTTATAGGGAATTAACCATGATAGTTCCAGCTGCAATCTGTCTTAGGAAAGTAAAGAACATTATAATGTTTAGCAGACAATTATTAACCCAATGGCCAGCAGCACAGAAAAAATATACATTAACAATTATGAAGGTAAACTCACCTTTCACCAGCAAATCTAAGTCATTTGTCAAAGATTTATTTATGTGATATGAACTAAAAATCATTTAGGCTAATCTAACAGTTTTAATTTATCTTAATGCCCTCTACGAGGCACTTTGGTATCATGCAAGCAGTATATGATAGTAAGCATACATGTAGACATAACACAATATACACATGCATGTAGTCATACATCTAGTGCATTTTAAGAAAACCAAAAAAACTTTGCAGATGTATTTTCTTATCCTTCCAGGTCCCACTGCTTCAGCCCCAAATGAACACACAGATGCTATACTAATTACAAACCTGTTGCCCGATAGCTAGGACTTCTTATTGACTAGCTCTGTCTTAATTATTAACACATAACTACTAATCTATGTGTTTCCACATGGTCTCATCTTACCGGAAAACATCTGGTGCAAACTATCCTCCCAGTATCCACATAGAAACTCTTTCAAGCACTTCCCTGCCTACCTTTCCCAGAATTCCCCTTGTTCTCTAGCACCACTTGCCTAACTGGCCAAACAGTGTCTTATTCATCAACCAATAAGTAAACGTATATACAGAAGCACATCTCCCATTAGAATTATTATTTTGTTAAATTTATCCTGTCAGGTTATTTTTAAAGTCTTCTGCTTCAATTATTTTTTCCAGTATCACTAAGTGAGCTTCAATATTAAATCTATTCTTTAAAAATCTGAATTTTCAGTTGAAGCAAATTGGAAAACTTATGTCTCAGTATGTAGTATCCTAAGCAGGATGATAAACAGGGTGTGGGATGAAGCTGAAAAATAAATCAGTCAACATGAAAACTATTTTCTTGGTTGAAATTTGGATTTGGGTATTTACAGAAATAAGGTTAAAAATCACACATTTGGATGTTCTGGAACATGGAAAGCAAATCATCCAATCAGTAAAACAAACACAGACCCCCCCCCCACCGTTCCCCCGTGATGCCTTTAAGCAGATTTATAGCATGAGAAACTCTATCTCTGTACCATTAGGAAAGGTCCCAGGTCTGGGGTTCAAGAAGCACACTGGGCAGATTGTTGTTTGAGTAACATACTCGATAAAAGGGTTTGAATGCCATAGACAGACAGGCAGACTGTAGCATGTCAGAACCTCTAAGATCAGGCCTGCATGGCAGAGTGGGAAACCCTTCTTATGAGTCTCAGAGAGAGGTATTTCTGTGTCATTTGATTAATGAGAAGCCTATAGTGTATGCTAACAGTCAAGTATCTATGGGTGGGGGGGGGGGGCAAGAATCTAGCGGTAAGGTGATGTAAGTCAAGGAAACCAAATCACTATCATTTCTGAAATGATCATTGTCCAACCAAAATGAGGTGGCCCTGGCTAACACTTTAAATTGCTAGAAATTAGACCCAGGTTTTTGTCCACTCTCCTGAGACCTCTTTACAAGAGCTGGCTCAAGGGTCCTGCAACACTGGCCAATTAGGAAAAACTAAAGATTCAGAGAGGGCACAAAGCTTTCTCAGGACCAACAGTTATATGAGAGCTGAAATCCGGATCCCTGAGATGTGTCCCTATTGAAGTTTAATAAAGACCAAATAGATGTTTGTTTGGGGAGAAATAACTTACAACATAGACAGATGAACACCAGCAGGTCCCTGGTTCCAAGGATGCCTCTGGATGCTCTCCTGTCCCTGTACTGTACTGTCTCAGAGCCCCCTCCTCAGACTTAGCTCCCCCAGGTAATGTCCACCCCTATCCCCACTGCAATGGGCTTGGTCTGTGCCACAGGTGCGGACAAAGTAAATATCTCACTACATGTCCCTTCCCTGCTTTTTCTCTGGCAGCAGAGACAAGCCCTTCTTGAGACGGCACCTGTGGTTTAACCAGCAATAAAAACCCAGTGCACTGACTTCACATCTCCGTGAACTCAAAGCCAAAATAAACAAGTCAAACATAACACTTTAGAGAAACACATATTACGTAGGTCAGGCAAAACTAGCACAGGAGTTATTCCTAGAGTGATTCTCTAACTCACTCCTCAATAAGGAAGCATTGCAATTTTATTCTTGGGGTCCATACACACTCTTATAGGGGTAGGCCAAGTTTTAAACAAGCTCATTTTAGGATTATATTCTCTGAGCATACTCATTCTAAAGTGATGGACAGAAATGCCTCTGAGAATCCCCAGCTTTCACAATAACATTTTAGCTGACAATTAAGAAAAGGATAGATTTCAGGTGTTGCATGCAGAAATCTAACCATGAAGGCACCTGCGTTGCTTAGGCAATAACAGACTGACTTGTCTGGTCTGAGAATCCATACATAGAGGCTAATCTCACATTGCTGCACAGCTTTCAAGTTAACCAAATATTTTTATAAGAATGCCAGTGGCTTTAACTACTTTCCATCTCATGATAGTTTTTTGTGCTCATATTTTACATGAACCCAAGGAACAGAGTCTAGTGGCACCCAAAGTTTGATAGGCAACTTTGCTGATGGCTGATTAGCATAGATTATAAAGAATGATGGACACAGGTGTAGTCAGCCCAAGTAGGGTAAAAGGGAAGCTGTGACCAGGTACAACCGAATTACACTGGGACCTAGAAGTTGAGGCGCCTCTGGTAATGTAGTTTACATAGCACAGAGTCACAGAGCAGGCTAAAAACATAAGATGGATCTTTAAAGAGACAATGGAGATTAAACAATTAAAAGCTCATGTGATTGTCTCAGCCACCTGCAGAAAGAATGGGCCCACTGTGTTCCTTACAGGTGAAATCTAGAGTAGCTAAACTCATAGAGAGTAGTAGGCAAAGAGCTGGGGAGAGGGACATAGGGTGATGTTAGTCAAGGGCACAAAGTCCCAATTGTATAAAGTGAACACAGTGGGAGATCAGATACATAACTACAACCATTAAGGATGGTATGAGGCAATATACTTGAACTTTGCTAAAAATATACATCTTAAATTTCATACAAGCCCTCCTGACTCTCCCTTCTTCCTTTCAGTGCATTTATTTGCTCACAGTCATGGGTCAGCTGTTCTCTTCACCTAAGGATGAACACTGCGAAGATTTGGCCTCCAGCTTTACCCAATATTTTAAGAAGTTTAAGATAGACACAATCATTCCTCAGGAAACCCTGGCTTCAATTAAGTCAAGCCTGGCAGGAGGAAACATTCAGGGGGCAAACTGTTCAATTGCCAATGCATTAAAAGAAATTGATAGTGCCCCACTCAATGTTGCTGTGACCGGGGAGACTGGAGCAGGGAAATCCACCTTCATCAATGTCCTGAGGGGGGTTGGGCATGAAGAAGAAGGTGCAGCTGAAACTGGAGTGGTGGAAACGACCATGAAGAGACATCCATACATACACCCCAATATTCCGAATGTGGTAATTTGGGACCTGCCTGGCATTGGAAGCACAAATTTTCCACCCAAAGACTATCTGGAGAAAATGAAATTCCACGAGTATGACTTCTTCATCATTTTTTCTGCCACACGATTTAAGAAAAATGATATAGACCTCGCCAAAGCAGTCTGCATGATGAAGAAGGATTTCTACTTCGTGAGAAGCAAGGTGGACTGTGACTTACAAAGTGAAAAAGATTGCAAACCACGAACCTTCAACAGAGAGAAAGTCCTGCAGCAAATCCGCAGCAACTGTGCTAAGAACTTTCAGGAGAGTAACATTGAAGAACCACCGATATTCTTGATCTCTAACAAAAATTTATCTGACTTTGATTTTCCAAGCCTGATGGAAAAGGTGGTGAATGCTCTCCCAGTACACAAACGACACAATTTTATGCTTTCCTTGCCTAATATTACAAGTGCAACCATTGAAAGGAAGCGGCAGTTCTTGAAGCAGAGGATTTGGCTTGAAGCCTTTGGGACTGACCTACTGAATATCATCCCTTCACTGTCCTTCTTAATGGACAATGATGTGGAGGTTCTTAAGAAAAGCATCAGCTACTATCGAACTGTGTTTGGAGTGGATGATGTGTCCTTGCAGAGTCTGGCTAAGGACTGGCAAGTGTCAGTGGATCAGCTCAAGGCAAAGATGAAATCACCTAATGTGTTTGAAACTACAAAGAAAGAAGCAATACAAGAAAGGCTTTCAAGATATTATGAGGAGTTCTGTTTGGCTAATGGACATTTAGTTACAAAGAATGTTTATGGTAAAGAATTGTATTGCCTGAAATTGCATTTCCTTGACATGGTGACAGATGATGCTAATGGTCTCCTCAGAGAGATATGTTTAAGAAACAACTTGATTTCTGATTAGTCTGTAGTTGCCAAAAATCAGAATCCATGACAGAAAAATAGGATACTGACATTATAAAACAATATACTGGTTTTATTCAGGCAATCCAGACTTTATCCAACACTAGTGATCATGTATCCACATTAGCTGTAGCAAGATAATCAGATATGTGTAAAAAGGCTGAGAGCTAAAATCTATTCACTTTGAATAAGCCCTCAGATCAATTCATTGCACTTTTATTTGAATTTCTTTAATAAAAATCAATATCCATTTTTAGGTTTAACATTGTGATGGTTAAGTGTCATTGACATACTCAAATCATATAGAAGATGAGTCTCTGGGCTTGCATTTGGGGAAATTATTCTGCTTGTGGAAACTAAGGTGAGAAGCCCTGCCCACTGTGGGTAGTTCCATTCCCTAGCTGGTGATCTCTGACTGTGTATGTGGAGAAAGGCCCTAAGCAGCAGCATATATGCATTCATCCATTGCTCTCTACTTTTCTCCTGAAGGTGGAGTGGCACTAGCTGCCACCAGCTGCTGCTGTGACTTCTTGGTAACATTGGCCTCTATAACCTTGAATTTGATACTGTGTCCCCTGTTGATAGCAATACCCAAAAAGAAACCATAACTTGACTGGAGAGGTGACTCAGTAGATAAAGTAATTGCTTTGTATGTCTGAAGACCTGAGTTCAAATGCCCAGGTGCCACATAAAGCCAACTAAGCATCTGTAATCCACCCACTCCTATGGTGAGATAGGAGGCAGACACAGAGAATCCTGGAAGTTCTGGGCCAGCTAACCTGCCATGAGTATCAGTGAATAAGAGACCCTGTCACAAGCAACTGAAAAGTAAAAACCAACACCCAAGGTTGTACTCTGACCTCTGCATACACACCATGTCATGTTCATGACTGCAATCACATATGCAATTGTACACACACAAAGTTTTTTCACAAGACAAAAAAGGAAGGTAGGTTTGGAGCAGTGGATCAATGGCATATTTGCCTCATAGGCCTGACACCTCAAGAACTCAAAAAAAGGGGGGGGGGTAAAGTGGAGGACTAGAAAGATGGCACAGAGCTTAAGAACAGCAACTGCTCTTACAAAGGACCTGGGTTCCATTCCTCCATAGTACTCACAGTAGCCTATAAACCTGTTGCAGGAGATCTGAAACCCTCCACAGGGAAAAGGCACACATGTGATGAAAAAGTATACATATAAAGCAACATTCAAAAAGAGAAAGAGAGAGAGGTAAAATAACCGAGAGATTGCAATAGGCTTAGTAATAACAGAAATTCCTAAAAATCCCATTTCGTCAGATTCCTCAAGAAAATACTAAAGAAGTTCTCTGATTCTGTTCTAGAACCAATGAACATGAAGAGATTTCTGTACTTTATATTGATAGGTTTTTTAAATGTTGTGATGACTAAATGAGTTATTTACTCCATATCAATACCAAAAGTCATTTAATAAATTTGTTCTGAAAAAAATGACATTTTTTGCTGCTTGACAATAGCAAGAACCCATAATAACTTCACTGTCACTGTCCTTAGTATTACTATTATTGGCTGATTGACTCATTGCCTATTCCATGGCCTATGTTTTATTTACCTTGAAATAAAATACAAATAAACAGTTCCATGTATTTTTAGTAGGACTGAAACAGAGACACATGGGAAAGGGAAAAATTATTCAAGGTAGGAAGTGGTTTCTTAAACTTTAGGCTGCTATATTTCTATAGAGAGGGTGGGCTAAACAATAGAATTTTGTTCTCACACTTCTGCATAGACAGAGAAGGGTAAAGGGCCCATGCTCAAACTACAAGCTGGCCATGTAACCTAAAAGCAAAATAAGTACAGCTCCCTGAACAGCTGGCATCCCATGCCAAGCTCTGAGACCAGCAACACTTGGAAGGTTGATAAGTAGCAGTACAATCCAGGCTAATGGCCAGCACAGTTCCCAATGTCAGATGAGGGTGCCTCAAATGTGCCCACTACTAACTGGACAAATACCACACCAACACCACATGACACATTCTAATTAATTCAGCCCAGGATAAGTCCAGAAAATCCATCACTCTCAGTAGAAATGACCCCAGTCTTTGTCCTACAGTGCAGTTATGTAAATTCTCCCTTCTAGGGTTTCCCTCCCACGCAAGAGTGATTCTAACCTTTCTGGAAACCACTGCTTAGATAGTTTAATAATGAACAACAGATGTCAGTTCAGAACCCTGAAGAAAGTTGTAGGGAAGGAAAACCACCTTGCTCCCACTCCTCCCTTGTTCTAGGGAAATTAAGACATCCAGGAGTAAAAGCTGCAAAACAAAACTGAAGAGGACCTGCCTGGACAGAGTGCCTTCCATGCCACTCTACACCTTGGGCTGATGGTGTAGATACTGAGAGATGGTGGATATTGAGAGAATTGTCAAAATGCTCTGTAGTGAAGGGTGGCAAATTCAGTGCAAATTCATCTCCAAACTGCAAAGTACACCCCCAGAGATGTGGAAAAAGACCTGGAAAATCAAACAAACACCAGGGGGGCACCCACCTGCTCACAAGCCCACAAAAGCAAACTCACTGAGGCAAAAACTGTAGGTGGATGGTACAAAAGCAGCCCAAGCCAAAAGCTAGGCTTACACATGCAGTCTCCTCAAACCTTCAGACAATGAAATTTATGGCTGAAACCAGCCAATACACACACACACAATTTACCTGATGGCTGGAGAGATGCTAAGAGGAAATAAGCTTTGGTTTTTTTGTTTTGTTTTTGTTTGTTTGGTACTAAGGTTTTTTTTTTTTTTTAACATTTTAGGCTTTAGTTTGCCTAGTAAGTATGTAATGTTACATGGGAAGAAGACCTTGAGGTTGACCACGGAATTAAAGTTAATGTAAATACTTTCTATTGTTTTCAAGGAACACTTTACTAATAAAGATACCCACGCACTAATAAACAAAACATGGTGGGGGAGGGGACAGAAACTGAAAATAATTTGGCATAGCTATTCTACCATCTAATAAAATTAACTTCCAACTAAAATTAGTCAGAAGAGATGATGAAGGCTACTCTACATTTATAAAGTCACAATTAGTCAAGAACATATAACAAATTGTAGGGCTGGAAAGATGACTTGGCAGTTAAGAGCACTGGCTGCTCTTCCAGAGGTCCTGAGTTCAATTCTCAGAAACCACATGATGGCTCACAACCATCTCTAAGGAGATCTGATGCCCTCTTTTGGCCTACAGACTTACATGCAAGCAGAACACTGTGTACATAATAAATAAATGTTAAAATAGTAACGATTGTAAAATTCACCAAACATTGGAGACACCAGGAAACAAATACTCGGTTTTTCTGAATGATAAGCAAAATTAACAAATCCTTAGCCAAACTAACCAAAAAAAAAAGATACAAATTAATAAAAGTGGAGTGGATAAAAATGAACATGACAACAGATGCTAATGAGAGAGAGTTGAGTCACTGAGTCATTGAAAAGTACTATGAAAGCCTATATTCCCAAAAAAAAAACTGGAAAACTATAAGAAAAATGGTGAAATTTCTAGATACATTTAACTTACTAAAATTTAAACCAGAAAATATAGAACACTTAAACAGATCTCTAAAGAGCAAACATATCTGACCCTAGGGTTCTACTAATGAATTTATTTATTATACAAAATACTGTTTAGGTAATCTATTTCCTCAGGATTCATTTTGAAAATGGATACCACTCAAAGAATCGCTGATTTAATCAAGTTGTCCAATTTGCTGTCACGTATGAACTGGACATTTTCCCATATTATCCTATTGTAGTGGGCATGCTAAAAGAAATATGCCTACATATTTTCTATCTGTGAAATGGGTAAATGTATTCAGTCAAATGAAAAAGAACCTTTAAGGTGACCATGGGATTAAATATTTTAATTGCCTTGAAATAAGAAGATTTTTTTTTTCTGGATTGCTGAACTATAAACTGAGACTTCATGTTAGTCAATTTAGTGTTACTATAACAAATATCAGAGACAATCATCACACACACACACACACACACACACACAAAGAATTTACTTTTGGCTTACAGTTTCAGTGTCTGTGGTCTATGATTAGATAGCTCCATTGATATTAATCTGCAGTAATATATCAAAGTGGAGAACAGGTGAAAAGAAAACACATACACACACACACACACACACACACACACACACACATACGCAGGCACAGCTCATAGTAAGCAGCAAAAGAGAGGAAGAGAAATAGGCCTATTCCTAGTGTCCCCTCAACAGCATACCCCTAGTGACCCCAACCTTTCTTATTGCATCCCAGTACTTAGAGGTCCTACCAGACCCCACAGCACCATGCTGGTGAGCAATGTAGGTTGCTTTGGGAAGACTTTAGCCCCAACCATAGCATGCCCCTACTTAATGAAAAGGTAAACAGAAGGGGTCTGAGTGAGCCATAAATATTGAACAATGGTTACTCAGTAACAGCACTCATGGATTGAAGATGATGGAAAGAACCACAACCCAAATCCTTGATGATCTCTGAAAGGTGGCAAAGAAAAGAAATGAGTATTCCTGGAAGAGAATGTCCAAAAAGAAAGAGAACCCATCCAACTATTGAAATTGGTTACACTTGATTCAGACTTCTAAGTCCAGAACATCTGAGGAATGAGCTTGCAATGTTTTAGCTAACTGCATTTATGATAAGTGAAAATTAATACACTTATTCATTCAGCAATATAATGGAATTAGTTGTGATTTTCACACATATCAATCTTGATCTTTTACAGTCTACACTAGCATTGGTATCTATTTACTTTCTTATTTGCTATATTTGTGTGGTACATTTGTTCTAGATTTATTTTAACCTAATCTACACTTGTGTTTAAAGTGGTTTTGTTGTATATTGCAAATAGAACAGTCCTCAGGTTTACAATACACACTCACCACTTATATAGTCTACTGATAAAAAGAACGCATAACAAGTTGGTTGCCTTCTTCTTCTGCCATCTGCCTTCTGGGATATGGCTCAGGACAACAGGCACAGAAGCAAGTGTCTTAATCCCCTGAGCCTTCTTGGTGAGTTTCCTATCATAACTATACATTAGTATGCTTCCCCTTTTCCTTCCTCTCAACATTTTTGTCATTGTAGCCATTTTCTTCTGTTAACTCATTCAGTTGAGGTAATAACATTTTTTATATCCCTTGAAAATCTCAGAAACTGAGATGGAGAAATGGCTCAGTATGTTAGAGTGATTTCTACAAAATAATGGGACCTCAATTCAAAGATTAACTGCCAGCACTCAGGAAGCAGATACAAGCATATCTCCTTGAGTCTGAGGCCAGCCTGGTCTAAAGTGCTAGTTCCAGGACAGGCTCCAAAACAATGCAGAGAAACCCAGTCTCGGGAAAAAAAAATAGATTAACTGCAATGAGATAAAAGGCTGACCTGGCCACATTGGGGAAGGGAAGAAGACAGGGGAAATGCCAAGGCTTTCTGGTCGCCAGCATTGCTCCATATTCAGTGAGAGATCTCTGAAATGAATAAGCGTAGCATGAAACATTAGGATACCTTTGGCTTTTATTAATAAACAGACACATCCATATGTATACCCAAATGCACACATACATGCATTTGCATATACACTGTAAAAATAAATCTAAAGGAGGATCTCAAACTTTTAAATTTGGTTTTAAAATTAATACCTAAAAACTACTGCTTCATAGATTCTTATGTGCTTTTCAACTAATATGGGGAAATCCATTTCTAATTAGATCATCATGGCTCAGAGCCAGGCAGGCAAAGGGATTCACAGCGGCAATCTCAGTCAGGAGGCTGAAGCAAGAGAATAATATGGGGCTCAATGCCAGTGTGGACTATATAGTCCTACAGAGACACTAGGCCTACATAGGATACAAAGGAAGATGCTGACTCAAAATATTTTTAGAAGACACCATTACTTGAGTGACAAGGAAGATTACAGTATGGGAAAAATCTTCATGGGCTATTTACTAGACATAGGGTAAGTATCTACATTATGCAAAGAAATGTTAAACACTAAGAAGTAAGCAAACCAATCTAAAAATAGAACAAAAACTCAACAGAAATTTTTCTGAGGACCTGCAAATGCCTAAGAAGTATTTGTTATTATCAAAGTTCTTGTCCACCAGGGAAACACAAGTCAAAACTGCTTATGATTTCACCTCACCGCAGTCACAGTGGCTAGAAACAAAATTACAAACAGTAACAAATATTCTTGTGGAGGCAACAAAAGTAGAACACTCAGTCCCTGGTGGTGGGAGGGCAAACAGGGGCAGTTACTCTGGCAATGTGTGGAAGCACCACAAAAAGGGGAAATGATTTACTACATGATCCAACTGCACCACTCCTGGCAATATTCCCAAATGACTATCTCCTACTACTCAGCTACTCACGCTCTATCATTCAAGCTCTATTCACAATAGCCAAGAGAAGGAAACAGTCTAGATGCCCATCAACTGATGAATAGATGAAGAAAATGTGAATGTCTGCAGAATGGAATATTACTCATCTATTAACAAAATACAATGATGAAATCCATGAGGAAAAGGACACAGATGGATACAGCCATTCTGAGTGAGGGAAGAGAAGCCAAGATGGA